CAAAGTTTTTTTTTTCTTAATATATCTGATCACGATTTAATTTGACCCTAAATAGAATTTTGGAATAAGATTTTTTTCAGTTTCAAAAAAGCAAAACCAAATACAACTTTTTTGTTCATTGTGAGAAACACGCGAAATTGCGAAACACGCTCGCACAGAGTCGATGTACGAGATTTATCGCGAGGTCGAGAATACAATTAGGGGAAATTAATAATCAAGTGTGTGACTTCAAAAGGCACAGTGTTTGAAACAGCGTTTCTACCCCTCGAGGGATATCACTCGCGCGACCGCATCGCGCCACACGGCAGAGATGAAGTTTCTTTGTGTCTCAACCGGAGGTTTAATTAATTTCGTAATTGGAAGAAGCGCCTTCGTCTGGAGTGGACGATTAAACAGCGCGGTTTTTCTTTTTTCTCTGTTTCGCTCGCTAAAATTCCGCCGTGCGATTCTTCTGCGTAAAGGGAAACGGTTGACCAAAATAACTGAATTACCACACGACGCAAGACACACAACTTTCGGGGGATAAGCCGGACGGCAAAAAAGTCACAGCAGATCCCGCCGTGAAATTGATTTATGTCGGACGATTCCGATAGTCGTTTCTCCCCCTGCAACCCGTTTTGATGCAAGCAGCCATTTAAATTTCCCTGTGCGTTAAGCGACGCCTCATCCTCTGTTTCCGACAAACAGTTGAGGAGAGGGTGGGGGTAAATCAGTTTACTCAATCGCAGTTCGGCGGCCGGCAGTAGCTCACCGAGACTCGCTGCGGCACCGTTTAATTCACTTTGGTCCTGAACTCGAAATTGAAATTGGCCCGAATACGGGCGCACCGGTGAACCGAAAATATCTTTGTGGCGACCGTGTACTGGGAACGAAAACAATTTCGGAGTACGTTAACCGCTTTTACGGAGTAAAATCTGGTTATTTCGCTTACGGAGGAATACGTGCCGTTGACGTCGGAAGACTTTCATATTTCCTTGATAAATAAAAGTTCAGCTCACCCGATTTATAAAGAAACGGATCTCCTCTTTAGGATAGGTTACGAGGGAGTCACGACAGGAGTGTAATTGCGAATGTCCCTGTAATCTAAATTTCTTCTCGCGCGTACCACTATCTTAAGACTATGACACACCAAAACCACACTTAAAAGCAGTAAAACGTAATCGGTAAACAAATCAACATTTTGGATTTGCTAACACTTACTTTGCCTTACTTTCTTTATTACGATTGTCCGATTCATATTATTACTTACGTCCTATTGACGATTTAATTTACAAAATCAGTTTGTATCTTACTGTTACAATTTCTTTGTCTATACATGCGCAAAGTATACATAATAAATCTTTCTGTAATTGTGTTATTGTTAGCTGCCGTAATGCCATCTCTCTGCAACGCGGCTATGTTAAATATTTCAGGCACCATACCTCACAGTCTCCCTTCTGTTGCAGGTTAATCAGCCCAACTTTACCTCAAACGTGACCTGATTCCGAGCCAGCTTGCCATGGACAGAACCGACCCCGAGCTTTCGAAACACAAACAGAAATAAAAATAAATATAGTGTGGTATATTAATCTAGGATACAAACGTAACACGAAGACAAGGCATGAGACACCGGTCTATAATAAGCTATGTACTCCCGAGATGATTCTTTATCTTACCTTGTATAGATGAAAAATAAAGCGCACTGTTCAACAGTTCATCGAGGCAGAGAGATGCCCGTGCCCCGATGCACGCGCGTCGTCTCCGCACGCAAGAAACGAGAACGGCACGCGCGTGCGAACCCTTCATGCGTGCGTCGAACGTTAATAGTATATATGTATACTTAACTTGTGATTTTTGTATATAAATAAAAGCGTTTTGCCCAAGTTGGAAATATCTTATTTTAATTGTAGTTGCTTCCTTTGTTTTCCACCTTCGTTATCCGTCGCTATCCCTTTTCTTCGGAAAAAAATTAATAGTACAAGAGAAAGCTAGGAAAGAAAATAATAATATAATAATTAATTTTATTAAAATCTGAAATCAATTCACATTTTTTTTTTAAGTTACATATTTTTTAGCAGACTATGTGATAACATTTGAATTTTATATTACTCTCTGAAACTATATCTTTCTTACTATCTTGTAATAAAACTTTTCTATGGATTTATTTTCTTTCTCTTATCGTATAGTAATATCGTAAAGAAACTCCGAGAGAGGAAATGGCGCAAGCGCTCTTTGGAATAGTTCTTGAGCCACTTTCGATCGCGCAAATTGTTTTCTGGCTCTTTATTTTTTACTAGAACGTGCGTTCTCCAATGTGCGTTCTCCAATAAAAACGTTCACTCTCCAGTCTGTTATTTAGATATCGGGCTTCTAGAATTCCGTGCGCACGGATAATTTTACGAGGAGAAGAGGTTCTCGCGTTTTACAAACGATATGCTTCATATTGGCCATAAAACGACATAAGTATAAGCGAATGCTAAATAATAGCTAGAGTAGCGCGCGCGCTTTTACGCCATAAAAATATTTCCTCTTCATGCCGTTCGCTCTCGCCACAGAAAGGTTAAAAACTGCAAGTACGTCTTCGCGTTGTTATTATGCAATGTTGCATCGTGCAAATTTTTAATCTGCCCATCCTCCGGAGTAAATGTTACATCGTAACCTGGCATACCTGCCAGCAAGCCTCACTTCAACAATGAGTGTTAAATAAAAAAAAAAGTCAATAACTTGAATCGAGGTACTATTATATCGCAAAGAGTGTCGCGGGAAAGCTCCGGCTTCGGTTTTTAACGATCCTTCTACGAAATATTGTACATATCGCTATGATGCGTATCCTGTTACGGGTATCAGCTACATTTATGGCAACTGACAAGGTAATTCAATAGTGAGTAATGAAACTGCGTTACGCAAGCGATCGAAGAAAACCACTAAAATGAAATGTCCAGTAAACGTGACATAATTCTTTCTATGTAATAACACATTGCATTTACCTTACCATTTCGATAATAAATAGCTTTCGATTATCTCGCTTTCGTTAAGCTTGTGTGTTTTTCATCGTAATTCAAATGTGTGCGACGTACATTTACATAATTAAAACATTTATACAAAAATCATATAGACTTCAAATATTACAATTACATTTAAATGTTTAACATTGCAAATCGTTTTTATTGTTGTGGAGGATAATCTTTTTATAGGATAAATTCATTTCAAAGAATGAACGATTAATGATATTTTCGATATCTTTCATTAGAATTAGAATCGATTAGCGATTAAAATTGAGAATTTGATGAGCAACTTTAAAGTAATTTTCTAAATATATTGTTCGCTATTTCAATAACTATTTAAAATTTACATCTTTTTCGAAAAAATTGCTGTTCCTATAAATATTAACTTTAAAATTAATTAAACTTTAATATATCTGCATCTTTTTCTGAATTATATGTGCACTTTTAGAAAGAGACAACGGAAAATTAAAAGGAAAATACGAGTTGATTTTAAAGTCAATGTTGTAATATTTTCGAAGAAACAACGGTTAAGTATGTATTAGACTTACAGTTCCTGCAAAGAAAATTAAATTTGGAAGTATGTTTAATATTAATAACTTCAAATAAATTATACAGATAAAGTTGTGGTGAATAAGATTATGCTTTTGTTTAATAATATATTTATGTAGTTTATTTATTTTACTTGTTATTAATTTTTTTTCTTATTGTTAAAAATTAAAATTTTTAAAAATGATTAAAAATTTTACATTTTTTTTAAATAAATACTTTAAATATTCATAATAATTTATACAAAGTTTAATTCACTGATTAGTTACAAAGATATAGCACAAATAAATATTTTATTCATTTACTAGACAACTAGTTCATGCATTGCAATGTAACTCTACGTAAGTAACCTTGAATACATAATGTACTCATATTATAAAATTGAGATTTTTATCATTTATTTTATAATACATTTCCATATATTTTTAGTAGAGTACAGATTAAAAAAACACTATTATTTATTAAAATAACTTATGATTCAGATAGCAAACCGTCACCAAATTTGTCACATTATTCTTAAACATAATTTAGAATATTCTGTAATTTTTACGTAATTTTGTTATTATTTTGAAAATATGTATAAAATATCCTTAATAGTTTTGTATAATAAAATAAATATGTGAAAAACACAATCTCAATGAATGCAAATCAATTTTTAAGAAGCATATATCACTTAACGCTTAATCAAAGACGCGGTTATAAAAGAATATAAATGACCGCAAGAAAGCTAGATGTGCACGAAAATTGCAACAAAAGAACTATAGGGATAAACGAGCTAACGACCCATCGTACGTCGCAGCTGTCGGGCGTTAACGATAAAAAATCATCCGAGTGCAATGCACATCGATCGCGAAAGGAATCCCGAGGAAAAACGAGTGGGTATATAACGTACGTTTCAAAGGTTAAAACACTACGTGCCTTTGTAACGTACTTAAACTCTGTATCTATTTATGTATCTTTGTATGGAAATTCTCTCTCTCTCTCTCTCTCTCTCTCAAACAACTGATCTATATTTAACTTTTTTTAACTTATTCAAAAATTATAAAATTTAGTGAGAAATTTTGAAAAATTTACACTACAATATTACACATAAGATTCCGTTCACGTGGCGTTTGCAATGTCTTTTTTGCTGATCCCAATAAATAATCACAGTTACATTTAAAACGTTAGTGATAAATTAATGATAATGAGATAAATTAAGAGTGAAATGAAAACGTAGCGACAGAAGCGCAGAACTTCTGATCTCGACTATCGCGATATAAATGAGAATAAAAGCTTACGGGTATAAAAGAGTTTCTTTTGCGGTATGCATCGGTCTAATAATAATGATTCGAACCGGTATCATCGTGGCATTTGAAATAATACGCCGATAGCACAGGGCATTGCTATCTATAAAAGGAGGATGCGGCGGATAAACGCTCGTCAGTAGTACCGTGCACGCAATATCTGGAAAACGAAGCAGTTGAGGTAAGAGTCTCGCAGAATCGCATGTCAGTCAAATCTCAAACGGTGCTATATTAACTGTCGTTCTTTTCTCTACAATCCAATAAGCTTGAACAAATTTCAAAATTATTTGGTGCGGACTTTCCATTTACCATTTCGAATTACACTTGCCAACAGCTTTTACACGAAAATTCGATATACTAGATAAATACTGGATAAATGAAACTCGTAAATCATACCCGGTAGGTCACAAAGGGAAAATTTATAATTCTCTTTATTTCTAATTTATACTTCGCTTTATTTCTAATATTTCATTCATAAATTCTTTTTATTACTTTATAAATTTTGTTGTTTGAAAAGCAACTGTAGATCAAACTTTGTAATAAGAATTTTAATAGAAATTTATAAATCACAAACAAAAGCAGATGCACGGTTAGTTATCAGGCGTTAGACGAATTTCTAATCTATTTTCGTTCCTATCCAGGATGAATCCGCATTTAATTATCTTGCTGAGCCTGGCGGCGGTAATATCGGCAGCAAATGAGCCTATAGCCATAGTCAGGCAGGAACAGGACATCAGCCCGGACGGTAGTTACTTTCTGAAATGGGAGAGTGCCAACGGGATTACCTTCGAGGAGCAGGGCGTCCAGAAGAATTCTGGCCAGAAAGACAAGGAGGCTGAGGACGTACACGGAAAAGCGTCGTGGACCGCGCCCGACGGGCAGAAAATTAATCTCGGCTGGCAAGCAGACGAGAATGGCGCCGTTTTCCAAGGAGCGCATCTACCGACCCCGCCACCCCCGCCAGCAATTCCGCCTGCCATCCAGCGAGCCCTTGACTGGATAGCCGCTCACCCCTACCAGGGGGAGAAAAACAAAGTGTAATTGATGCAGCTCTTGCTACAGGCATGTTGAAGATTCGTACTTCACTAGCATATGTTTAGCTTGACATTGAATGTAAAAAGACAAGTTTGTATAAAAATGTCATATACCGAAGGAAAATGTGATTTAATTCCCGATTTCTCATCAACCACTCTTGTCGTAATAAAATTACATTGTTTTAAGTGTATTGTTTAAGTGTATCCCCGTAAAGTACGATCAATTACTATAATTGTGATATCGCATTGTGTTTGGATACAAATGAGATATTGACAGATATGTTTAGGAAGATAGACTTATTACAAAATCATTAAAATTGATAACAGCTCTAATATATAATTATATATATATA